TAAATTCTGGTATTATTTATGACTTGTTATTGCTCATATATTTCACCCCTCTCCTTGCGGTCTATAATTTTATGAGCACTGAGCTGGTTTTAATTGTGAAATTATTTTCACTCATCCGAGTTAACTTCTTATTTTCTTTTTTGGTTATTTTCCAGCAAAATAACGTAGCGTGTCAGGGCAATTTCATTAAAATTTAATAAAATTAATGTCTACACAGCGGGTCAAGTACACACTGAAAATTAATTACGTCAAAATAATGAAAAGAATAGTTAATTAAATTTCAAATTAATATACATAAATTGATTGAATTATACAATTAAATTTTATTATTTTACAACATAGTAATGAGTATTGAATTTTCGTTTATATTTGTATGAAAGATATTTAATATTAATTACTGAAATATTATTTACTTGTTATTCTCAATTCGTTTATTTCAATTGTTGAAAATTTCTACTTCATAAAGTACAATGTACAGTGGAAAAGAAACTTTTTTTTTTGAAAAGAAAACTTTAAACAAGCGCCGGAATGGATAGTCATGAATAGATAATGAAATCCAATGGAGTATTTGTCCCACTATATATTGGCACTTCTCAGAGGCAACTTGGATCAAGTCATTATCGTAAATAAAGAAACTATCCGGGGTCTGGTAGTTTTATTTTTCGAGTATCGAATTTTCGAAAACGAATTCCAAGGAAAATGGGATAAGCAAATTGTGTTTAGATTTAAGAGTTTTATACGTTCAACGCAACAGCTACGACAATATCACCGGTGTGCATTTTTGTTATTAAAAGGGAAAAGAAATGGGAGGGCAAGTGGAGCAGGGGTTAGTGGATGAAAAGTTGAGGTCAAAAAGGATGAAGTGGAGTTGAGTGAAGCACACTAGTACAAGCTGCGAAGCTTAGTGAGCAAAAATGAACAAAAAAAAGAAGGAGAACTTGTGAGCTACCTAGAAAAAGGCGTAAAAAAAATACGGAAAATTAAACGATGGAAAACAGAAAAGGATATCCAAGGAAGTGAAGCGTTATAAAACTCACAAATTACTAGCAGCTAGATTCAAATTAATTTCCTACTGCGCCAAGTATGAGAAAAAAAAATTCATTACATTCAGGAGATCTTTGAAATGCAAACCTCAACAAACCGGAGTCGATAGATAAGAATTCAGGGTTTTCTCTAACACACTTTAATTATTCGAGTCTTCATCTGATCGATCTTCTTCTATCTCATACTTTAAAAAGAAAATGTTAGTTTTAAATGGATATGGCAAACGGATTTTTAAAAATTTAGTCTGGAATATTGACTTTCTAGTAAATTCAATTAACTCTGAACTTGAGGTTACAAAAGATTAAAAATTTGCCAAAGATATACATTTGAAATAAATTTCCCTTTCCTCCGGGGGACGTCAGTAATTGATTAAGCACATACCGAGATAAAAATGTCTCCTAAACTTGAGAGAAATTTGTAACCTCTGGTAATTCACCTGCAAGGACAAAGGCCCCTTATCTACATATGGCAAACGATAAATTTCCCTGACTAAAATAACTTAACTTTGTCCTAAATAAGCAGCAATGTCTGGGAGTGAGGAATTCGTATAATATAGATCCCCCTAACTCATAATATCTGAAAACGAATGGGTTGCCCTGGTCGCACGCGATATATTTACACGATCTATCGTGTCGATACAAAATAGCATGCATGCATTAAATGCCGGCAATTCTCCTGATTTATCGTTCACAAGGAAAAGTCTTCGAATAATGTTAGGGAAGCGAAACGCGACTCGAAGGTTGCGATCGAGCAATATAGGATCCACTAAGTATCGGCAATCTTGTTCGACACACTTTCTTCTTCCTTTTCATTCTTTTTTTTTTTTTATTTTATTCAGGAACAGGAAATACTAACTGCTGGGTTTTATCGGTGGAAACTTTTCTGAGGACCCACCTTACAGGAGGTTAACGATCTAAAGAAGATAATCGTAATTTATTAAACGACGGCGCAATTCTACACCGCGACTCTTGGGTACCGTTATACAGATTACAGGACGGAAGTTAGAACGTAACACATTTTACATTCCCTTGCCAGGATTTGGTATAAGAATTGCCTCTTTTTTTTCCCACCCTCACAGGAGCAATAATTGCCCTCAAGCGCTTTATTCAAGACACTTAAATTTTCATGCACAACTAAACTTTAATTTATAACAAAATCATTCTATTGCTAGAAAATTGCGATGAAGCCAGTACTTTGACATTCTGAAATGAGAATATTATAGAAATGTATAAAAACTTATTAAAGATCAGTAGAAGAAAAATTAGAAAAGCGATTTAATCTAATTCTCTTGAATTCAGCAAGTATTACTAATTTCCAAAATAAATAACAAGAATGTTTTCCTTTACAATTTGCATATCTACTCTTTTCATATAAGGACCTGGTAGCTAATCCTCGTTCTTTGATTTTTTTCATAAATTAGAGCTACAATCGGACTTGAAATTAAATTAACAATTAAATATATTACCCGTCCAGCACTTGAAAGCGTGATGTGGATCATTTTGTCGATCTAGAGGTGCGATGATTAGATAATTAATGTGCGCGCAATTCCTGGAAATCTATAGCAATTCTCCGAACGCAAGCGTCCTGCCCCACCATCCCCGATACCACGCAAGGGATCACTGAATCACATGACCCATGAATTTCCCACTATCTCCAATTAAGGAATTAGGGTCAGTTCAGATTTTCAAAAAATCGATTGTTTATTGCATTTTCTAAAAATATTTCCTAAAAATTCCATTATTACAATAAATAGTTCCTTGGGGTAGATACTGAAGGGGTCTTTGACCCTCGAAAGTAGGTAGCAGGCTATTCTTGTCATGAGAAAGGGAAAAATTGCATTTGATTGTCTGGTCTGAAGAGAGAAATTACATTTTTTTGCGTGTTTCTATCCATGGGAAGAGGAGAAGATTGTACTTGATTATCTAGAGTAGAGAGAGGGTGATAATCTCATATATAGGTATAATAATATCCTTTTTTTGTTTCGTATATTCATAACAAAGGAAGAGATTGCATTTAATCGTCATGGTTAGAGGGAAAAGGTAATTGTCTCAAAGATTACTGAAAATAATAGCCCATAAGAATTTGACTTTATAAATACCCCAAGAGAGAGAATTCACAGGATTAGACGAATTGGATAATTGCATAAACATACAAAAACTTTTCTATTTACATTTTTTGTAATCAGATACTAAACCAATTAAACTGTTGCAAACTATTTTACTTGATGTTAAAACATAATTTTTACCAATTTAAAATTAGTCACATAAAATAAAACATTTAAAGAAAAAATCCGCGCGTCTTAATTCCCACCAAAATTTAAAACTTTTGCTGAAGTAAACTAAAGTTTTATTCACATTGAATTGAAATTTTTATTATTATTTTCAAGCATCATTAGATTGAAAACGAAATACGTTTCAAAAGCAGAGTTCAGCTTCGAAGGTTTGAATAAGAAATGGTAATTGGAGAGTGACGCTTCCATTTCAACTTTTACACGCCTTCAAGTTTTCTGTTCGAAACTCATATCGTCGTCACTGTATAATGCTATAAACTTTCATAACGACTGTTATTGATGCATCGAATCGATATTCACCTAAAAGCGACAATTTTACGATATTTCGGTATTATCCTGAATAGGTTGAGTTTATTTTAAGGAATATAAAAATTAACTACAGATACGGAGCACTATGAGGAAAATTAATTAAATGACGGAGCTGTGAATATCGGCGTGGCTTGCAAGTGATCTGCTTCCATATTGTGATTTTCTTTAGTTAATTTTAGATTCTATTCATAGTGGTGTCAACTCTATGATTAGAGTGCAAGCGCCAAAGGGATATATCGTCCTCTAAGGTCCAAGCTTCTTAGTTCACTCGTCACTGGATATCATAGACGTCGCATCAATGCTTTGGCAATGCTAATAATGACTATGTAATTAAGGAAGGAGAGTTAAGGTCAATTGGTGATTGCCAGTTACATCACTATTATTCCTTCAGTGTATGAAGGAAACACCAATCAATATGATATATCTTCCACCCCCTTTACCCTTTCTTCTTTTTCCGAATAACTCCGTGACAAAAACTGGAGGGGATGAGGATGGATTAAGAAGTTAAACGGACAGACAAAAAGGACAGTGTTCATTCAAAAGTTGAGCTGCTGACATGAGGGAAAATTTCTGATGGTTTTGATCGTGGAGTGCTAACAGAAGGAGAATAATAATTTTGTATGTTAATTTCTGCTGCTTGTAATTATGATTGCTCTTAAGAGCTGGGCTTTGGCCCCTTGCTGCTAAAACCTCTCCCTTTTTTTATGGTAAGCAACACTGAATCTGTACAAATAAGACAACAATGTAATGCGGCTCTGCTGAATTATCAATTTCAGGTTTCATTTAAGAAATGTTTATTGTGCCGTTTTTACCTCAGCCATATTTCATTTAAAAAGTCTTTGATTTTCTGGTCCATTTTCATTGTTTGATATACAAAATAAATTTACACATTAAATGAAATTTGATTCTTTGTTATTTCACTCACCATAAATGCGTTTCCCATTCCTCAACTTAAGATTAAATTCCACTATTTGACATTGTACGATTAATAACTAATTTTTGAATTACTGGACTAGCGTAACTTGTATTTTGTTATTGTATTGCTTTCTATAATTTGAATGATATTTAATTAAAGTTAGGATAGTCAACATATCTATTAGTTTTAAATTATAAATGATGTGGTTACTAATTTCAATGAGTATGTCACGTTCGAGTTTCCAGTTTACCGAGGAGATAGTACAAATCAACCACATGATTACTTCTGAATCCTAATCAATATGATGTATTAATGTTCCAATTTGGGAAAAGGAATTTTTAACCGATTATTCGGTTTATTGTGCTAGAATGAGGAAATCCTGGATGGATGAAACAGGTGATAGGTGTGAATAGACATTATGAAGTATTTATTTATTGCAGATAATAGTATAAAAATATATTTATTTTATCCCAGTTGAAAAATTTAAATACAGTAACTAAGATTACATACAAAAATACAATAATGATATGAATAACATTGAAGCACTTAAATTACATTCAATGGAATTAGGAATGAAAACGTGTATCTTACCACATTCGAGTGTGCTTACTATTTTTCTCCACTGTTTCACTCACCTGCAACAAAAGAAGATGTAAGGTTTTAAAAATAAAGAAAGTCTGTAAATAAATTTCTAGATAGTTTTGATGATTATTCTCAAAGGTATCTTTATTTAAGTAAAACTAGTACAACATTTAAAAAACTTATAAAAACAGCAGAAAACTGCACTATGAAATAAATAGAAATGTTAGGAAAAATGCTACTTTTGATAGTCTTGTTATTTTAAACTGAGCCATAGTCTGTATTCACTTACGGCTAATATGGCATTAGCCGAATTTTCTTAAAATCTCTGCTTTCATTAAAGCATAATGCAAGCGTCGCTAGAGTACCACACGTACGGAAATTGCAAACTGCAATCTTCTATTAAAATCGAAATTACTAAACTACGCTTTTCAAGCTTTACCCTTTGACACATTCATTTATGGGAATATTGAAAACTTTGAAAATTTTCCAAACATTTAATAATGTTTTAACATTACTCCTGAAAGCAGGTATTTAATAATTTAATTTCAATTAATAATGAATTGTTATTTATAACAATTTAATTTTTTTATTGTTTTTATTTAACCCGGTTTTATAATTCACACAATTCTCCTTCACATTCCCCATTAATTTTCAAAAATATTTCTTTCTAATTCTTTTATTAAAAGCACGTTTATCAAAATTATTTGATATAATATTCCTGACAATGTGCAGTTTGTAACTTGCGGGGTTTAGTACTAATAAGACGTTGATCGAGTTACTCGGCCATAAATCAAGAAACTCAAATTAGTACCTTTAGATCTTGATACACGAAAGCCCACAGATGCACACCACATTTTCACGTGGAAGCGTTAAATTACCACGTAATCGAATGGTGCGATTAATCGAGTGGTTACCGAGACACGAGATTCGCATCTTAATCGATGCCCTGGGAAAGCCATTATCAAACCAGAAACTACTGTGATCAAAAGCCAAAACCTTCAAATAGGATGAGAGGCAGCCTCAATCAACTGACAGTTACTAACGAGACTTCATAAATCCCCTGCCAAATCATATAAAGTAGCTTTACCTCAAACAGAAACTTGAGAAAAAAAAATTCTTCAAAACTTTTTTAAAACCAGAAGTGCATTTGAAGTTAATAGGACTAGCATCATCATCCGACGAAATAGAATTAAAACTTATTCCTCTCTTTTGGTGAATATTTTTCGTTGCTTATTAATTATAAATCGCATCTTGTCCACCAAGTTGGCGTCATGTCTCAGCGCTTTCTTTTTGACAGTGAATCTCAAGTGAACTATTGATTTAATTACAGATTTTAGTTATCCGCTGTCGATAAAACAGAACACTAATTTATCACTAGCAAAGAAGGGGACATGGTTTTCCTTTCTTAATTTTTGGGCAAATTCGTTCTGGCAGCGAACATGAGTAGAACAAACGAACAAATACTGCTTCTGTCTCTATTAAAAAATCCATTGGGATATTTATTTAATTGTTTATTACCCCTTTCCCTAAAAAACGTCCAGAGAGTCAACTAAAACAACCTAAATAATATTTTAAGTATCCTTAACTGTCAAAATTATGTTATCATTTTTCAAAAAATGATTACAAATAAAAATATAACGAAATTATTTTGTAACCAAAACTCGAATTATAAAAAAACTTCTTGAAATCTTAATTATTTTGTAAAGTAAGACTGCAAATGCTTTTAACTTTTTAATCATTATTTTCAAGGTATTAACTCTAATTAAAATAGATTCAATATCTGTTGTGAATATTTTAATTAATTTACTTAATCCAGTTGAAGATTAGAGTTTTTAAATGCTTTCAATTATTCCTTTGAGCAAGGGATTTTGAGTACTGTGCCTGAATATGCACAAGTGAAGACTTGACTAAGCTGACACAAGCGTCGAAATTACGAAGGCGTTGTTCAGGTTCGAATAAGCCAGTATGGTAAGACGAACATTCTAGAGGAAATTTATGTTCACGCGCGCATCGTGTACATTCATCAGAGATGAGTAACAAATTCTACGGTTCTGTTCTCGAATTTACTTCCACCCGTCTTTCTACGTCATAATTAAATAGCAGGTTAAATTCTCAACTAAGATCTAAAAGCGAATGACAATATTTGCAACACAATAAACCAAAATATTGTTCTTATGAATATTATCATTTCCTCGTAATTTTTTAACTTCCATTTAGATAAATTAAATATAATTAATTATTTTGCGAAGTTTATATTTTTTCTATTACTATAAAGTATAAACTCAAATATAAATGAATGCAGACTTTTAGTTAGAAGTCTGGATTTATTTTTATTTGCTAATTTAAAATGGAGTATATAATAAAATTTCTAGAAATTCACACACTCTGAGTAAGTTTTTCTTTTTAAAAAAAAGTAAACTCAAATAAAAATTTACGTGACTGACAATAACTCAACTTCATGTTTTACAACTCTTCATAAATCCAAGCGAAAGACCACAAACAAAACTACATAACTCTGTTAATGACGAGAAACTTGGTTCCTAAAAAGAGTTCTCTGAATAAAAGTATAGGCATACTTACTTTATTTTATGATACAGGTTTTAACAAAAGTTGCATTTTCTCCCAAACTAAAAAGCTTTGTTTCTGTCCTTATATTTTTGTCACGACTTTATTTTCTTTTATGAAACACAACTTTTCTTTACAATTCGTAAATTATAATAATAGAACTTAAAATTTGACTTTTTGTATGCGTCAGATATTTTTAAATTAATTATATTTGGGTTTGTAATCAACTTATATCGGGATCGTATATTCCAACTACTTAGGATGTGATTATAACTAAGCTATAAACATTATGAAATTAGGTTGTAAAACTATTATATTCATAGCCATTATACAAGAAGGAGAGATGAATTCTTAATATCTTAATAATTATACTTAGACTCCTGGGATGTTTAAAATATTTTTGTATTTCATTAAAGTGTTTGTAAAAATGTTTTTGATAGGAAATATTAAAATACACTCGAGAGTTAAGATAAATTATTGATCACAGTGTACACGTTGACTTAAAAAGAAAACGAAATTCTTCTTCTAATAAAAAAAATTAATAAAAGTAAATTTAATTTAAAGTTGGAAATTTAGAACCAAGTAGTGAATTTTAGTGAAATTAGAACTAACTCCATATTTGCAGTGTGTCTTCAGCAAATATTTGTCTAAATTAGTAATGATGTCAATAACATCTGTAAACATGAGTTTACTTTGACGTCTGACCTTCTAATGATGAAATGCGAAAATTGTTGACAAGATTTATGTCTAAATTATCTGCATCGTGTTGGTGGTACAACAACTCTTGCAAGCAGACGATTAAACCGCTAAGTCGAGAGATGGAGGCTGTTGCTGAGTGCGTAAATCACGAGTAAACTTTTGGAAAACGACAGAAACTCTGCTACCAGCTACGTTTACGTGGCTTTATGTTTCCCTGTAATTCTCTTACATTTCAGACTTCCGTTTTCAACTGTGACCACAATTTCAATCATAACTTAAAGCTACAAGAACATATTTAAATAGAAATAATTTGCATTACTTCATTTAGAAACAATTCAAAACTGAGCATTAGTTATGTAAATTATATTCGTTAATTTTACAACTTAGTCTTTGAGAATCTTGTAAGAAACTTCTTATCTACTTTTGGGAGAAATTTGTAATTATTTCAACATTTCATGGAATTAATGTAATAAATTTGACTGGCTAATTGTAAGATAAGTATAATTATGAAATAAAATACAGAGTTGTAAAAGTCCAGAACGCTGTCTACCTTCCACTCTCACTTCCCACATTCGCTTTCCATCTTCCACTCTCACTTCATTCCTTCCACTTTCCACTTCCCATCTTCCACCTTCTCCCACTTTCAACTTTCCACTCTTACATTCACTTCCCACATTCCACTATCCAAAATCACTTTCCACCTTCCACTCTCACTTCCCACATTCCCTTCCAACTACAATTCTTTTTTTCACCTCCCACTCTTACTTCCTATACCGACATTCACTTCCCACTCCCACATTCACTTTCCATTTTCCACCTTCCACTGTCACTTTCTACCTTCCACTTTCTAGTCTCACTCCCTACCTTCAATTTCCATCTTCCACTCTCACTTCATTCCTTCCACTTTCCACTCCCACATTCCCTTCCCAATTTCCACTCTTACTTTCCACTGCCCATTTTTTACTCCCACTCTTACGTCCTAGTCCCACATTCACTTCCCACCATCCACTTTCTACTCCCACTTTTCACTTTCACTTCCTACCTTCCACTTTCTAATCCTACTTCCCACTCTCAATTTCCACTTTCCACTCCCACATTCCCTTCCCAATTTCCACTGCCCACATTTTACTCCCACTCTTACTTCCTAGTCCCACATTCACTTCCCACCATCCACTTTCTACTCCCACTTTTCACTTTCACTTCCTACCTTCCACTTTCTACTCCTACTTTCCACTCTCAATTTCCACCTTCCACTCCTACTTCCTTTTCCCACTATTCACTTTCCCACCATTAGGTGAGAAAAATGAGAAGCGAAAGTGAGAAATAAGAGTGGAAGGTAGGAAGTGAATGTGGGAAGTGAGAGTGCTAAAGGAAAAGTGGGAGTAGAAAGTGGAAGGTGGGAAGTGAGAGTGGTAAGTGAAAAGTGAGAGAAGAAAGTGGAATGTGGGAGTGGAAGGTTGGAAAGAAAAGTGGAGTAGAAAGTGGAAGGAGGATAGGTGAGTGTGGGAAGTGAAGGTAGGGAGTAAGAGTGGAAAGTGTAAGGTAGAAAGTAAGAGTGGAAAGTGGGAAGTGAGAGTGGTAAGTGAAACGTGAAGGTAGTAAGTGAGAGTGGAAGGAGGGAAGTGAATGTGCAGTGGAATGTAGAAAGAGGGAAGTGGGAAGTGAAGGTAGGGAGTGAGAGTGGAAAGTGTAAGGTAGAAAGTAAGAGTGGAAAGTGGGAGTAGAAAGTGGAAGGTGGGAAGTGAGAGTGGTAAGTAAATCGTGAAGGTAGTAAGTGAGAGTGGAAGGA